CGTACTTATTTGTCGTATAATTATCGTATAATTATGCAGTAACATTGCATCATTATGTACTATCGTGCAAGTTTAGTTCTACTGTGTATTAGTGTTACTTCAATTTGTAATTTATGACCAATTTTAACCTTTTAAACGCCCGACTTCAGAACAGTTGGCGTGTCACTAGCGCTGGGCACAGTGAATCGAAAATTAAATACCTAAAAGAAAGAGGGATGTGCAATACTTAACTTTGCGATGTCGATATTTCGTTTTAATAACGACATTGCATTTGCGAGCATTGATAACTAACAACTACTTACATCTCACCAAGCTATATTTGCACCTCACGTCGTTTACGTCACACTGACATTTAGGTACCTACGAGCTGCAACAAAGGATTCACTATGACGAAAAGAAAACAAATGTTTTTTAGTTAAATTCGTTTTTTTATTACGTACCTTTTTTTCCCTATTTTTTTTTCTGCTTATTCCGAAGTGAACATGTCCAAGAGCAACTTAAATTATTATGTTGTTACTAGTGTTGTATTTGTAAGATAATTTAGTGCTAGCTGAATTTGAATGCATGTTCTGTTAAATCTAGCTTCAGAATAAAAATGTAAACCTGAATTATTTTCAAAACGAAATTGTTTTGACAGCTAATATAACCCCAAAAAATATTAAAGCAAGTATTTTTTTTGGCAAAACCTCGCAATATATTAATTTGTTTTTAATTTAGCTTTATTTTTCCAATTCAAAATTTCATGTGTTAATGTATCCTTTCTATCACGTACATTTATCGACATACTAACGTAAAACTTCATGCAAAAACACAACACTATTAAGCCATATGCACTCGTTTATTGCCTCCTCTACACGTAGACAGATTTGTCTGCAGACGTCCGCAGACGCATCCGCAGATGAATCTCTACGAGCCGTCCACACGTCGCCAGGTCGTTCAGTCTATGTTGGTTCTCGTCAGATGCAACACGTACGCACGCAGAATGGATATCGAGACCGTTGCTGCCGCAGCTATTAATTTATTTTGTACTTACAAGTATTATTTAAGCGTCTATCGCAATAGGGTTATTAAAAAAAAATGGAGAAGAAGAAGGTGGTGGATGCTGACTATACATAGAAACCGAACAAAGTAAGTGGGATTTTTTTATTCATAATATAACTTGTACGCTTTTTAATCGACTTCAAAAAAAGAAGGTTCTCAGTTTGACCTGTATGTTTGTATGTATGTTTGCGGTTTTCATAAATTTGTTACATTTAGGTAGAGGTTATAGTATATAATACTTCTTAGTTTAATGATGACCTTCGGCAATATACTTGGATATTCTTACGGGTTAGTGTTTTTGAAGTCGGTTCTCTTTTCTAAAAAGTTTTTTTTAACGTAGGTAACGACTTCTTACATTACTCTGTTTCTTCGCAGGAATAGCATGGAAAACCAGTTTGCAGAACTATATGCAGAGCCCTCTGGAGAATTTAATAATTTTGTTCGAATGTCTAGCAGCGATTTTGAATATTTACTACAAAAGATATCTCCAACGATTGCTAAAAAAGATACAGATTGGAGGGATGCCATTCCAGTGAAAGTGCGTTTGGCAGTAACATTAAGATATTTAGCTACTGGTGATAGCTATAGAAGCTTGCATTACCTGTTTAAAATTTCAAGCCAAGTTATATCCATTATTGTTCCTGAAGTATGTTTAGCGCTCAATAACGTGTTAAAGGATTTAGTGAAGGTAAACCACATAATTTAATCCAAAATCTTTATTATTAATTGTATTGTAATGAATAATCAACAGTTTACAAAAAACTTTGCTTTGACAAATAGGTAAGTAGGTACTTTCAGTTTGCTTTGACAAATTAAGGGTGATCGGTGTTATTATCGTCCGTCATATTTAAACAGCTTTCGTAATACATTTTACTTGTTTGTGGTACAAGTACTTCTTGTGAAATAATGTTAACCATTTCGGTTTGTTGATTGGCCATATTTTGTGGTGGTGACTGAACTGAATGGGGGGAGTCTACTACGTATATAGGTGACGGTGTTGATGGATACATGCTGTTGCTCGTGCTAGGTCGACTGAGGATTATTTGTGAAGGAGAAGAAACAGCATATGATCTACCCTGCATCGTGTTGTAACGACGACGTCTGTTCATCATAACACCATGAAGCTCGTACATTATTTCTTCCCTTTCAAGTTTTGGATACTCCCTTATTTGTTTTGCCAACATTTTACAAAATAAATTGCATTCGTCTTCTTCTTTTATGTTTTCTTTGTTAGCCAATGCTTTATTTAATGCTGTAAAAGCAGTACTCATTTTTTTATTGGCTTCTTGCATTTCGGGTGGATCTTTAGCACGACGTTTTTGTGACTGAATAATTGGTTTGTTTTGAGATGTAGTAGGGATGTTGGCATCATTATGGTCTTCGTTTTTAGCATCCGGAATATTATCACTAACCTGCACGTTAGAAGCGCTACCCTCTTCATACAAATCAGGTTGTGTCTGGGAAAGAAAAAATTCAATAAAAATATATTTAAATAATAATATTACATTAAAGAGCAAACCAGCGTTTTTTTTTTTAAATTGACTATATATTTTTATTTTCAGATACCTAACACTACGGATGAATGGCTTGCAAAGGCAAAAGGATTTAATTTTCCTCATTGTATTGGCGCTTTAGATGGGAAACATGTCATGATTCTACCGCCACCCAATACCGCAACGGAGTACTTCAATTATAAAGGGCATTTCAGTATTGTACTCTTAGCACTAGTTGATAGTGACTACTGCTTTATGTTTGTAGATATAGGTTGCCCAGGGCGAATTAGCGATGGTGGAGTCTATAATCAAAGTGTTTTAAAGCAAAAAATTGACACAAATGTGATCAACTTGCCTTCTCCTAGTTGCTTACCCAATAGTAATACAAGCTTACCCTACGTATTTTTAGCTGATGCCGCATTTGCATTGAGTACACATATTATGAAACCATTTCCAGGGCATCACGCTCTTGGTACTCCAGAGAGATTATTCAATCAAAAGCTCTCTAGTTCGCGTGTAGCAGTCGAAAATACTTTTGGTATAATGTCTAGCGTATTCAGAATTTTCAAAAAGCCTATACCCTTGAATATCACTAAAGCATCTTTAATTACAATGACATGTGTCTTGTTACACAATTTCTTAAGAAAAAGTAAAACATCTCAACATTTGTACAGTCCCCCAAATTCAGAAGATAAGTATCTCAATGGAGAATTAATCCAACCAGGGTCTTGGAGACAAAATTACACGGGAACATTCGATCCACTGCAACCTATACCTCGAAGAGCGCCTGCATGTGCAGTTGAAACGCGATTAAAATTTACCAGATATATTAACGAGAATAACCATTAATTCAAAAGTACCTAGTAATCTAGTAGTATCTAAATACCTATAAATTTAAGATAAGTATATAGAAATGTATGTTGTGTTGGCTACTCAAATAAATAAATAATCCAAAAATAAAGAATGTTTTATTTTTACTTACTTTTTCCTCTGTATTTAGAATACTTGTGGATTCGTAAACATCTGTTAAAAACGCAGCCATCACATCGTAAAATATCCATATGGGCTGATACACATCCTCTGTTCCCGCCCCTGACCGAATGGATGCATTTCTTTTTTTTAAATTCGTTCTAAATGTACTAAGAAGATTATCTTTTTTCTTTTTTAACTCATGCACTGGAATGCCCATCGTATCAGCAATACGTTTCCATGAATCATTAATCTGAAAAAATAAAATAAGTAAGTATAATCATTGTGGTTATATCAATGGGCATAATAACAGGTGGTCAAAATAAGTTGTCGTGTGTCGCGTTAACACGATCAAAATACCACATTGTTAATATCTAATAACCAATTTACAGTAAACTCAACTGAATTTGTAAGTAGATAGTTAAATAAAATGAATGAATTGTGTACTTACAACATTTTTATTTTTGTGGTATTTATTTTTGGGATTCCACAGGCAGTTTTCTGCTTGATACAGCTCCAGAAATTTAAATGTTTCCTCTGTGCTCATGTTTGCCATTTCAACAAGCAAGAAAAAAACGGCGGTAGGTAAAAAAGAACGGCGAAAATCACGCGTGCACTCTCACTCGCTTCCCGCTGAACACTGATGCGTCGTCAGACGTGTGGACACACCGCACGCTCGCGCCGGGCGCCCGCGCCAGATCCCTTTGATCCGTGCAACAAAAACCGACAACAAACGGATAAGTGCCGGACGCGTCTGCCGACGTCAAATACCTACCACAGACGAGCAAATCACTCCCTCTACACGTAGGCGGACGCGTCCGCCGATACTATCGGCGGACGCGTCCGCCTACGTGTAGAGGAGGCATATGACGTAAGAAGCGGTCGTGTTTATCCGACCGTAGCGCAGGGCGTACTAACAAAGTAAGTTTCGGAACATGTAGGCTAGAGATGGGAACCATCAATTCAATCGCTGACATTTCATTAGTAATTTTACTTAATTTTATAGGAATTAAATGAAATTCTCCCAAATATTTGTAAAAAAATGTTTAATTAACAATTGCGTGTTCGTTTTAAAGTTAACTAGTCAGTGTAACGACACATATTTTAATTTATGTTTATTTTTGTATCGGTAAATTTTGGCATGTGTGATGTCTCAAGTCGGATTTTGTCGTCATGGGCGTTGCACATCAATACAATTTTCGAAAAATAATGTTAGTTATTTATCTAACTTTGGACATTATTTTTAGGACTTTTAAGAGGCTAAAGTGTATTAAACTGTAAATGATTACTTAGTTAACCATTTACCTAATATAAACACATTTTTGATAGAATACAGCGTATTTATATAATAGAGCTGATTAAACGAGCAGTGATATACGACTCTGGCGAAATGGGCCCGAAAATATTTGTCGGATTAATCCGACGTAGGCAGTTAAAGGGTTAAGTGTGGGAAATCCATGCTTCGGCACAAATTGGTCGGTTCGACCGGAGTTATACTATTGCATCACAGAAGAAAATCGCTTCAAAGGAGGCCCAGTCCTTACCCTCCACTCTTTAGCATAATGTCGCGCCAGGGACAAAATAATAAAATATTGAATTTCAAAACAAAAAAACATGCAGTGCAATTATGGTACAATTATAAAATCTTGGTACTTTAATTCATCAGATTGTATTTCACGATCAAAGAAAAGAAAAAGCTAAAGATATGAATGAGCATATTTTATTGAAAGAGTTATCACATTAGAACTTATAAGTAGAGTCCCCGCGTGGGGCGGGGCGGCCTCAGCTAGCCGGAGAGGTCGCCGTGCTCGAAGAGGTCCTGGTCGTAGAGCGCGGCGCGGACCGTCCGCCCCCCGAAGTAGCGACCGTTCAGCGCCCCCGCCGCCGCCACCGCCTCTGTTACAGACACTATTGTTAGTAACTTGCTTTCGACCAATATGCAAAGCATATTCTTATTGAATTGCTCACCGTCGGGCTCGGCGAACTGCACGAAGATCTTGACGTTGGCGTGGGCGGGGTCGTCGTCCTCCGTCTGGCGCTCGTTGTAGATGACGAGTCTCTCGACGCGCCCCCACTTGGAGCACTCCTCCTGGATCTCGTGGTGCAGCGCCTCGTCGACCTCTTCGGCCTCCACCATGTTGCAGAGCAAGACGGTCCGCGAGGCGCGGCGCCGCATGAGGCGCTGCATGACGAGATGGCGCGCCGACTGGCCCGAGATGCTCAGCGACTCCTGCTGCTGCAGCGTGTCGGGCGACGAGTCCAGCAACTTGCGCTGCAGCGCGGCCTGCTGGCCCTCGCCCGCGTCGCGCGCCGGCGACGGCCTGGCCGCCGGGATGACCACGCCCGGCGGCGGCAGCGCCGCGCCCGCCGGCAGGCTGGCCGCCGGCAGCGCCGGCATGGCGGGCAGCGCGGGCATGGCGGGCAGCGCCGGCATGGCGGGCAGCGCGGGCATGGCGGGCAGCGCCGGCATGGCGGGCAGCGCGGGCAGCGCGGCCAGCGCGCCGGGCAGCGCGGCGGGCAGCGCGGCGGCCAGCGAGGGCAGCGCGGCGGCGGGGGAGACGCCGAGCGCGTTGAGCTTGGTGAGCCCGAGCGCGACGGCGTTGCTGGCGACGGCGTCCATGGCCTGTATCTTGGCGGTGGCGGCGGCGGCGGCGACGGCGGCGGCGGTGGGCATGGCGGAGGGCTGGGGAGGCCCGGCCAGCGCGTTGGGCGGCGTGATGGCGCGCCCCACGCGCAGGTACTGCCCGCCGAGGTCGAACAGGTTCATGGACGCGATGGCCTCGAGCGCGGCGGGGAGCGTGGCGTACTCTATGAACCCGTAACCTTTGTGCTTGTGGGCGGACGCGCCGTAGGCCAGCTTGCAATATGTGATCGGACCGAAGGCTTCGAAAACGCTACGAAGAGATCGATAATATTAAAAATATACCGGTACAATGGTTTCTATGCTACAAAAGTAATGTGTTTTCATTAATAGTCCAGTCATTTAGTCGAAAAAGGTTACCTGGAATGTTTTCTGGGAGTTTAAGGAATTGACAAATTTAAACATCCTCACAGTACTATACATAGAGAGCTCATAAACTCTTTCGAAATGTTTATCTTGTAGTTCTGTTTGGCTATTCGTGATTGTGACACATTACATTACCCTTTACTATTCTGATGAGTCGCATGTTTAGTTTCGTCTAGCGCACCCATCATCATAGCCATTGTTTCAAAACGAAAGTAAAGAAACGTTGTGACGAGTCTGAATATGTTGACACGTTACAGTATCCCAGATGATGAGGATGCGGAACACAGATTCGATTTGTTTATTTTATTATAAAGTTGCCAGGTAGAACTACCAAATGTGTGGACTGGTTTAATAAAACTATAATGACAAACTTTTTGATGTCGTCTTCAGTGAGCTCCGGGTGGATGGATGCAACATAGATGCGGTTGTACTGCTTGGCTTCTTCTTGGATCTCGTCAATGACAGCTTGCGCCTGAGGCATGTTGGAGGGTCGGCCGACCACCTTGATGTTCCTGGCGGGGCAAAGCATCGGATTAGAGCAGTCCTGCAGTACTGCATACTTTACCATAGAGTGGTGCACGACTGCGGACTGGTAGTACCTGCCGCCCAGCATGACTCCGTTCATCTGTTCGAGGCTGAGCTGCGCCGCTTCGGGGATCTCGTACTCGACGAAGGCGAAACCTTTGTGCTTCTGTGTGACGGGGTCCCACGACATGTTGATCGACTTGATCGGCCCGAACGGAAGGAATGCCTGCCGTATCGTGTCCTCCTTCAACTCAAATGATATCGAGCCCACATATACTCTGATGAGAAACACGGCACAATTAAATGACACGAATTAAGCATTTACCCATATTGATTAATGAGCAGTGGTCAGATCTTTTCAGCACAAGAAATCACAGGCTCGACCAGCTTTAGCGGGAACCTCTACCATATCGCTGTCATCATACTACAGGTGTCTTGGTGTATGTATCCGTTACCGTACATAGTAGGGGAGCGGTGTGTGTGTGTGAGTAAGTACCTGCACATGAGCGCGAGTGCCTGCTGGCGCTGGACCTGCGTGCGCTGCGAGGCCATCTGTTGTTGCTGGTGGGCCAGCGTCTGCTTCATCAGCACCATCTTGATGCTCTGCTCCATGGCGTACTTCTTGGCCCGCGCCACCGCCTCGGCCTGCTCCGACGACAGACGCGGCAGCGAGCCGCCCAGGATGGCGGGCAGCGTCGAGCACTTGGCGCCCGGACCTGCAACATGCCTCGCGTCACGCACGGCCCGCCCCGCGCCCGAAGCCCCGCCTTCCTCCCTCGACCACTCACCTGTGAACACATCTCCGACCTGCTGCAAGTCGTAGATTGGCGCCGACGGGAAACCACCTGTAAAAGCAAGTTTGGATGAGTCGGAGTCGATTGCGTCCAAGTGGCAAAGATCAGTGGACGCAGACACACGCCTCGCACACATCGCTGGCACACGGGCACGGGCACGCGGGGACAATGCGGTATAAGGAAGTAGGTACATTGGCAAGTAGGTACATTGTCACAGCGGCGAGGAGCTGCCGGCGCCGCTCCGCAGCCGACGCGTCGGCGGCGCGCCCTAGCGTATAGCAATAACCTAACTTATATCTAGCCTGAAACAGAAAGCAGAAACACTGATCACTGAGGACGGTTTCGAATCGACACAACGAATGGTTCGGGAGAGACTCCGAGGCCGCGCTGCCCGCCTTCTGCGCTGCGCGCGCTACTCACCGGGCACACCGCCGGGCAGGCTGGCCGCCAGCCCGGGCAGCCCGGCCAGCGCGGGCAGCCCCGCCAGCCCGGGCATGCCCAGCGCCATGCCGGGCAGGGGCGCGGCGGGCGGCGCCATCATACCGGGGGGCAGCGGCGGCTGCAGCGCTCCCGGGTTGCCGCCCTGCAACTGAAATACCAAAGAAAAACAATTAAACCATATTGAATAGCATACCTTCGAAAACCCAGGCCAATCAAAGTTACACATTTAAATTGTTCAATTTTTTCTCTATTCAAAAAGGAAGTATTATCGATAACAATATGACGCTGAAGATGCACATAACCAAACATTGCAAGACATCAACACTCAGTGGAAATTGAAGAAGGTGCAAAATTTCTCACTAAAACTGTAGAAAGAAAATAAAAACAAAGTTATAATATTCTTAAAATAATAAAAAAACATATTTGTCATACCGACTGACTAATGGGTTAGAAGTCAGTGCCTTATAATGTAAACAAAAGTATTCATCACAACCTTGTAACTAATTATTGTTTTATGGCGACAAGGCGACTGTCGCCGCGTCGCGGGCCTATAGCATGGCCTGAAACTAGTCGAGTATCTCGTAAAATTATTACGTCAGTAAGCCGAAAACATAATAATTAATTTAAAATGTCTCACGAAAGTTATAATAAAAAAAACTTGTAATTAGCTTACATTAAGCTTTTTACAATTTTTATACTGATTATTTCTGTAAAAACTTTAAATTGCTTTTTTTATGTGCTGGAGGCAGGGCTGCCATCCGTCTGGGTTTGCCTGAACTTGTCCCAGTTTGGGATACATCCAGAGAAAATCCGAACGGGATTTAAATCAAAGTCCGGGTGCAACCGAGATTTAACATAATATGAGTGAAAACGAAAAAGTCCCTTAATAACACACTGACACATGCTCCTAAGTTGTAACAAATACTTGTCTAAAAACCGCATCCCAATTGATTAATCCTTGCTGTTACTTAACACCATACATAGAAGACAAACTGAGAATCACTTCCTTTTTTGAAATCAATACAAAATTATTGAAATATCCAAGTCTCCAAAGTCAGGTGACGTTACGCTATCAGTCCGAGGCACCAACTTCTAACATAATATCAGTGGGTGATGCAAGTATTTTTTATTAAGTATATTTGTTTGTTTGCAGTTTATTTTTTTAATGCTGTATTATATTTTAACTAGCTTCCACCCCCAGCTTCGCCCTGGTATGTTCATAGAAAGGAACCTATAGCAAAAAAAAAACAATATCGAAGCATAGTAAGAGAATAACCCGCGATTTTTAGTTAATTTAGTATGTCTCACGATATTTATTATAAAACCATCGAAGCATAAATAAAATTAGATAGGTGAAATACAAAATCTTGATGAAAGCACAAAAGTACAATATTAAAATTATGTGTAAAGAAAGCATACTTTTTTTGTGTTATAGATCGGCAAACGAGCTGACGGATTACCTGATGGTAAGCAATCAGCGCCGCCCACGGACACCCGCAGCATCAAAGGAGTTGTTGTTTGCTCGTTTGCCAACCTATAACATCTCGATTCAAGATGTTGTTAATTGTTGATGAACTTTGTTTTTGTAAGAGTGCCGTGTAACCTATTATAATGAAGTTAGACTTGTAGAATTTAAGTACTTGTGTCAGTTGGGAGTTGTTAAGCTCACTCAGGGGGTTTCATTGGTGGTAGCACAGGCACTGGATCACTCAATTCCCTAAATTAATATGATTAAGTTGGGCCATGCTGGTGTATGTGTCATGTCAACTCGAGACTGTGTAAAGTTGCCATCCTCGTGGTAAATTTCATTTTTGGATTCTTTGGCTAAACATAGTGTTACACTTTTCTCACATAATAGAACTGACTACATGATGTAACAAAGAAATGCATTGTCAAATGATTGAAAAAGAGTAACCATGGAGTTTTTTGCTCGTTCTTCTCCATCAGAATCTACACTTTGGAACAAGAAATAGAGGACAGGAGGACAAGCCAGTGTGACATGCACAAAGAAAAACCTTAAATACTTTTTTTTGGCTTGATGTGCAAAACTGCCTGGTGTGTTCTACTTGATATAAATAATTTGATTTGAGGTTAACAAACGAGCAAACAGATTACCTGATGGTAAGCAATCAGCGTCGCCCATGGATACCGGCAACAAAGGAGGAGTTAAGAGTTGTTGTTGTTTTGGGGATTAGGGATTTGGAGATGTTGGGAAAGGGAATGGATTGGGGTAGGGAAAGGATTGGACCTCCAATAAATATATTCTTCGTATAAGAATACATTTATTGGAGGTCCAATCCTTTGGAACAAGAAGTTTCTCCTTGGATTTATGAAATTATTACACACACATATTTATACATACATGACATTATAGTTGGCCACCACAGCATTCATTAGGACATTTCCAGGACTTTATTCTGTTTTATATATCACATTTGGTTTTATTCCAAATTTTGCATTGGTGATCTCCTACCATGCCATCCATCCATCAAAGCTACGCACACATACATATACCCAATGATACTAGCATAGGAGTGTACAAATTAAAAATAATATTCTTTCTTATAAGGTCTGACAGGGTTTGTGTTCTTATAGTAGTCTGTTTGAGTTTTTAGTCTAAGCCAATCAAGGGTTTTACTAAGGTACAGTTAGTAGAGAAAATATGTAATATAAGTACAATGTAAATACAATGGTGTCTAGGTAAGGTAAGAGTCCATCATAAAAACTGCTCTTATTATGTTGAATTGCTATATAACTTACAAATAAATTACTAGCGGGTAGAACATAGAAACAACATGCTCTGTGGGTATTTATCAAATGCATTTCATTAACCTAATAGCAAGTTATTGTACTTGTACAATATAAATGCAAAATGTGTAAACTGACCAAGACTGTTATCTTATGGATCATTAATATATTTATCCAATCGTACTTCCTACTTTGAATATTTATGGAGTACAGATGTAAGTATGTCTACCTTTTGTAAGAAAATCGTGGCAAAATGAAATTTAATTTGGAACAAGTCAGACCCTGGAATAACTTTAGGGTAGGCTATTACACCAGATAACGCAAGCGAAGCCGCTGGTAAATTCCTGTCATATTTAGATTGAACCCAAAGATTCACAGACAATATTATAAGTTACTATAAGTAAGTCAATACGTTTACTAAATATAGGTCAGTGGGTAGCCTTAGGGATCCTCAATTAACAGACATTGGGTATTTTGGGGATCATAAAAAGAAGTTCTAAGTCTAACTTCTAGATAACATATTAAAACCTGCAGTTAAACAATAGTAACCAATCTAACGTATCGATGTAAAAAAAAACAAATACGACGAGAAAATACCATACACAATTACTTTTCTATAATATTATAGGTTAGCCAAGAGGGCAACATCAACTTCCAGATTGATGGCATTGATGTCATGATTGGAGTCTGTCAAATAAATATCGTGAAGATGTAGTTCCTGTACTTACCAATTCCATAATTGTTTATAAGACTGTATTACTAACGTAACTCACAATAAACACTAATTAACAATTAATACTATATATCCACCAACTGTAACTTTGATTTCATCAAATAATACCACGCTAAGCTCACAACACTGCACAACTATACTAAAACCATAGATTTAGTGCAGGTCAGTGACTATTTTTTTTGGAATTTATGGCCTGGATACAAGTCCTTTAAGCCAGTTTTCGGCTTACTCACGTAATAATTTGACGAGATACTCGACTAGTTTCAAGCCGAAAACATAATAAATAATTTAGAATGTCTCACGAAAGATATAATAAAAATATCCTTTAAGCCAGGTCTGTGACTAATACACAAGATATCATAAATGTACCAGTCAATGCACAGATTATTGGAAACTCAAAAACCCATGGAGGATTTTTTCTATGGTCTAGTCTAACTTCTTGTAAAGAGCATACGACTGAACAAAACCTACGAACATAAGTGGGTTAACTATGTACTTACCTATGGATTAATGAGCGATCGAGCGGACGACCACAGATCATGGCATGGAGGAATTCACTTGTCTTTTATTTGGTCTAAGCTCTCAGTATTTATTGTGTAGTCTATGGTCTAAGCCACAGTTACCCACACTGAAGTAAGATCAGAGTGTAAAGTAATATAGGAGTAGAAGAGAGACCTCTTGCGTATTTTTTTGGCATACAAATTTAAAGCGCCCTCTGGATTTTGTTACCAGAAACGAATGCATGCTATATTCATACCTACCTATTGTATAGTATCACCATATGTATACATAGATTTTGATTTAGCCTGTTTTTATTTCCAGCCAATAAACTTAGACACCAGGCTTCCAGACAATAAACCCTTAAACCCATACAGTCAAAATATTTTACAGTTGTATTGATAGGGTTTAATTGCCAGGAAGGGCTCCGAAATAAAAAACAGACAAAACTAATTCAAATTAACAAATCAAAGAGTATGTAACCACTACGTTTATTAACAAATATCGTGTGATCTGTCAACATCGAAAGGACATGGCCAACTTTTGTATGGGCGTTTGCATAGTTATTGAATTTAATGTACATCAATGATTTTTGGTGTTTACATTCGCGAATATTATTAAATTAAATTGCAATAAATAAAACACATGAAGAACTCGTAATTATAACAAACAAGACGAAAATAGTTTCACTAAACCTTTAGTCAGATTACTGGCCATAAGTGCACGAAATAAGATCTTGCTTTTAAAAACCATGGCGTTTTAATTATTTATTTATAAAATAAAACAAAAGAATATGTATAAAGAATAATGATTTGATGAATAATGATGAGAACAAATAAAATAAAACTACGTAATAATTCACTTTTATATTTTTATTATAATAAAGTGTATTTTATTATGTTTGTGTATGGAATGTACGTTTCTGTAATATATATTCTGTATAATTGAGTAATATTATGGTAGTACTTTCCATTTGAAGCGGCCTGCTTAAAACAGGTGGTAATGGTGGTGGCTCTGGTGGGCTAACCACTTGAATATAAGGAGCTGCTGCATTGTTGTCCGAACCCAATTCCTGCAAGTTTCGTGATAAGTCCTGCACTGTCTGTCTATTTGCACGCATACAGCACACATGACAAACATAGTTGCTTCTTGAGGTCTGAAAATAAACCCCAGTTAGAATAAACACATGTTTTCAAGTTTTATGTTATTGTACAGTGAGAAGTATTATGTTACAACATGCCTACTTTAAAGAAGTCTATGCAAACATGGAAAATACCTAAAGATACATATTATAATCACACATACCTACTATGAGTACTTTTTTATAGATTAATATAGATAAATACAAGTACATATATAAAACAATGAATAAAAAACAAAATGCTTACCACATTAATAGTATTTTGTGATATTAGGCCAGCTAGCAATGGAGAGTCCATACTGACATTATGGTGTCTTATTTTTCGAACCGATTTTCCACAACCAAGGCAAGCCATGTTATGCTCCAGTAGTCTCTCATGTTCACCAACCTCAGTATTCAATAATAAGAAGCGTGGTTGACAAATGAATGTCCCCAGAGGCAACTAAAAAAAGAGGCACTATTTAAAATCGCATACCATTATAAAACATAAAAAAACAGACTAAGTATTATACTAATCCGACTTCATACCTGGGTTTGAGCTATGGTTAACCAACGTGAAAGTTTTGGTTGATGGGGTGCAGAAAGCGAGGATATAAGACGCCTCTGCAGCCTTTGTATGCCTATTCCGCAGTTTATGCACCTCATCGGTATCCACAAAACAAATCCAAAACGCAAAACAGTTACTCCAGTATTATTAGCAAGGTTAACAAAAACACGCTGTCAAAAGTGTCAAACACGTTCCGTTTCGTTTAAGTTTTTTTTTGGTGAATTGGATAAAAATAAAACATAATATTATTATATTATATAAAAGTATATATTTTAAAATGCAACTAAAACCAATGAATACCATTTCGTATGAATAAAATGTTCCTAGTGTAATGCATTTGTCGATCATATCACACGTTTTCTACGAGTGTAGTTTAAGACACGTGGTTTGGAATTGGAACGTCTTTTTATTTATCTTTCTCTATGGACTATTATGGCGAAACTTGACAAACGATAAGTTGATTTTGTTGCATTACTTTTACATTTTTTTAATAATATTGTCAGGTCTGGAGAGGCTAAAAACTACGTAATCATTCATATTTCTATTTGTATTTTACAGTGTATTAATTTTGTTCGTGTACGTGGAATGTACTTTTTTGGCCATGTCCTTTAAAAGACTGGTGTGGCCATGCTCTCATATATGAATGATTAACGACTGTCATCCAAAAAATTACGTAGGTACGTTACGTTTCCGTACGGCGCGTAGCGTTTTGCGCGCGTCTCAAACAACCAATAGACCACCACAGTCGGGGCCGGGGTTGTGGGGTAAGCGTAATGAGGCAACCTCGGCCCAGAGCAGGAGAAGGAACAGGGGGGTTTTTAATCAGTAAGCGTCTCACACTCTCTCTCGCCTTACCCTTGGGCGGGAGAAGTCATTAGATGATTTTCCCCTGACAAAAAAAACGAAGTGCCATCTTCTACTTTTAGAAATACTTCATGTTTTTTAAATGACTTCTTATTATCCAAAGATCTAATGTCCTGGTGTTGAAGATCTAAAGAACTGCGTCATGTGAATTTAAATAACGCACATAAATGTATTTAAAGTGCATTATTTAACTAATTACTTCTATTTTTAGTTTAATAAGTCACCGTTACTATAATTTTTTGGATGACAGTCGTTAATCATTCTAACGCATTATGGAACCATTTTATTAGAGCATGGCAACACCAGTCTTTTAAATTATGACTTTGACAGATCACGCGATCTTTATTAATATGAATTAGTTTTGTCTGTTTTTTACATGTTTTTTAATTCCGGACCCCTTCCTGGCAATTAAACCCTATCTGTACAACTGTAAAATATTTTGACTGTATGGGTTTAAGGGTCAGTTTAGTGGCTGGAATTAAAAACAGGCTAAATCAAAATCTATATATAAATATTGCGATGAAAAATACTATAGGTAGGGATGAATATGTCTTGTAATATGATTAAAAGACTTGGATCTTTGATACTTGACTTTAATTGCACAGTACACAGTCGGGCAGCTCACTGCACCAGAGTTACATTGTCAATGGCCGACACTTTCTCGGTCACCTTCTTTATAGTGATATGATGACATTGACAGTTCTAGTGCGACAATTAGGTATTGGTATTGCTAATTACAGATAATACAACAGAATATAGCATGCATTCGTTTCTGATTACAAAATCTTTAAATTTGTATGCCAAAAAATACGCAAGAGGGCTCTCTTCTCCTCCTTTATTACTTTACTCTTTGCTTTACCCACTTAAGAGTTGTTCTCAATCTTAAAACCGCAATTCAGCGTAAGTAGTAGGAGTCCGGATCACCGCCGTGGTATCTGGAAGCGAAGGCGCCTCGCGCCCGTCTACAGTTTGCGCGCAGACGCGCGTCGGAGGCGAGGATCCTCTGACGCGCAAATTAGTGCGTGGCGAAATGAGCTCCGGCGAGATCTCATGGCTGAGTGGAAGCAGCGACTGTCGCAACCGAGGGCCGGGCACGCTACTATAGCAGCGGTAAGACCCCTCTTTGAGGAGTGGCTTGAGAGACGCAACGGCGTCCTCACCTTCCGCCTGACGCAGGTTCTTACCGGGCACGGCAGCTTCGGTAGGTTCCTGTTTCGGATCCAGCGGAAGGAAACGCCCGAGTGTCGTCATTGTGAGGACCGCCTAGAGGATACGGTGGCGGTATGCCCTGCCTGGGCTGAGCACCGCCGTGTCAAAAAAAAAAAAAAAAAAGTCAAAAATCATTTATTTCAATTAGACCACACTAGGCACTTTTGAACGTCAAGCAAGCAAAAAAGGAAAAAGTATATAACAAGAGCTTTAAAATTAAGCGTGTCAGTCTGTCCGTCTGTCCTCTAGTGAAGCTATTTGCTCGTTCCAAAGTGTAGATTCCTATGGAGAAGAACGAGCAAGAAACTCCATGGTTACTCTTTTTCAATCAGTTTTACAATACATTTCTTTGTTACATAATTTAGTCGGTTCTGATATGTGAGAACAATGTAACACTAATGTTCAGGCAAAAAGTACGAAAAAGAAGTGAACCTCAAGGACAACATATTTAGACAGCCTGGAGCTGACCAGTACCCAATAGGCGGCGCCCGTTCACGAACATGACACGTACACCAGCACCGCCCAACTCAACCATATTATAGGGAATTGGGCGATCCAGTGCCCGTGCCACCGCCAATGAGACCCCCGAGTGAGCATGACAGCTCCCAGCCGACACAAGTACCTATATTCTACAAGTCTTACTTAATTATAATAGGTTACAGGGCACTCACATTTACAAAAACTTAGAAGATCATCAACAATTAACAACATAGTGTACAAATTAATTAAAATCAAAAATTCCTCTAAACATCCTGTGGAGTAGGACCAGCTAGCCTCCAAGCATTTTTATCTTGTATATAATCATTTAGTTTGTAGTATGCTAGTTTACATAAATGTTTCTTTATACATAATTTGAATTTGCTTTCATTTAGATTTTGAATTTCAACTGAGTTTCTTCAAGTGTCCTCAGGGAAGTGATCGGCGGCGGCGACCTCTCGCGCCCGACCTTAATCGAGGCCATGGTTCATAGCGAGAGGAACTGGGAAGCTATCTCTTCCTTCTGCGAAGCAGTTATGCTCGCAAAGGAGGAGGCGGAGCGCGCGAGGGAACTATCCTCCTCGCGCCCCAGCCGCCGCAGCAGGCGACATTCATTAGTCGGGGATCGAGAAATGATCTCCGGCCACCGTAAGCGCGGGTCTGCGGACTGCGAGTAAGGGTAGCTCGCCGCCCGACCAGAACCAGACCCGAGCGAACGGCGCCTAGTGTCCCGCGCGCGCCTCAAAGAGCCAATAGACCACCACAGACGGGGCCCCATAGGGCTGATGTTCAGCCGGGGTTGCGGGGTAAGCGCTATGAGGCACCGCGACTTCGGCCCAGAGCAGGAGAAGGAACAGGGGGGGTTTTAGTCAGTAAGAGTCTGACACTCCCTCCCGACGGACCCTGGGCAGGAAAAGTCATTTGATGATTTTCCCCTCACAAAAAAAGTCTGCATAACACAAGCAACATGACGCGGCAGACGGTCTGCAACCGTTTTTGAGACCTCACAAAGTCACACCCATCATCCGCCCTGGGGGAGAGGTGGGGGGGGGGGGAGAGGGAAAACGTCAGCCTCTTATCTATTGACTAAAATCCCTATTCCTTCTTTTATTTCGGGTACTCGCAACCGCGGCTGGACATCGAAGGATTGGGCCTCCGGTAACCTCACTCACACAGCGAAACACAACGCTGTGGTTGTTTGACGCCGGTTTTGTGGGAGTGAGAGAGTGAGTCTTCGTTTTTCATGTCTCAACAAGGAAAACATGTAGCATATTCCTCTATATGTCAAAAGGAACGTGATATGTCGTCGCTGCGCGTGCATAAATCCCTATGTGTTTTTAATCTGCTTTTCAAGAGAAACAAAAATCTAATTAAGTATCTCAAGATAATTGTGTTAGAGTTATTACAACATATTTTTGTATGGCAATAGTAATAGCAAATTTACATAATTTAGCTTTTCCTTCGCTGTTTATTAATAATAAAGCTAGGAAAAATAAAAAAAAAACTTTATATCTACTGTACACATAGCGTTTTTTATTATAGACCTAAATACTCGCTAAGTGTCAATAGAGCACAAAGCGAAAAATAAAATAGTACAAGCTATTTTGCCTCACATAGCTATTAAATGAAACACCACTTTGTAAGAGGATCACAACATTTATTTAGGAAATATAAATTATTATGTACTAATGATACGAAATATAAAAATAACAATAAACATACCTACTTGCGCTGTAGCATATTTCCAAAAATGAAACATAAAAATATTTTTTTTTATGTAATTGATCGGCAAACGAGCAGACGGATTACCTGATGGTAAGTAATCAGCGCTGCCCATGAACACCCGCAACGGAGGATTTACGAGTGCGTTGCCGACCTTTTAGGGATTTGGAGATTTAGGGATTGAGGAGGGATTGGGGGTGGGGAAGGATTGGGCCTCCGGTAACCACACTCACACGTTGAAACACAACGCTATGGTTGTTTCACGCCGGTTTTCTGTGAGGCCGTGGTATCACTCCGGTCGAGCCGACCCATTCGTGCCGAAGCATGGCTCTCCCACACTTTAATGAGATCAATTGAAGACATCAATGAGATCAATTGAACAAAGTTAATTAGGTAGCTTGAGGTACATACTTAAGGAAAAAAGATATTAAAAAAGTCATACAAAGTAAATTAATGATTCAAATTATATAATAATAAACATGATAGTCTCGATGCATATGTTGCTTCAGACTCTGGAGACTGTTAAATTTAGTTCCCTCTATCTTAATGGGGCTGTTATATAATCTTGCAGGGAGCTCTAGGCTGTCTAGTGTCTAGTTGTATTTGTGGTAAAGCTTCCCATTCATCCGAATGGCGAAGTTTATATTTCACTTCACCATTGATGTAAAGAAGACTTTTAATATCATTGACAGTCGCATCTCCAGCCTTTCTGCCTGGTCTTATTGTAGAAAAAAATCCATGTATTCTTCATAATTTTGAAGAAATTGTAGTCAAGGTAGTTGATAATGTAGGGCTGAGAAGGCCTACAGTCTCTCATCCTTGACACGTAATCGGTAGGAGAGAAAGTTGGCGCTTTGAATTTTTTCTCTAATGTTACCACATTAGACAGTGTCTATACCATAGACACTGTCTACCTCCATCGTCGTATGCCCTTTTTTAGAATAATCTGCTCAATGGTGAACTCTGTTATAGCACTTAAATTTGCTAAGGCACTGCATAAAACCTTATTTATTTTGATATGCACACCCATCAGAAATCATCATAACTTTCTTTTTATTGTAGCAATATTGTTCGATAAAGTTTACAATGCAACTTGTTATATTATTTGCTGTTACTCCTCCTTCACCTTCATGCCAGACATATAAATACAAGTCTTTAGTATTTTTTACATAAAATGTATAATTGTGAAGTCCTAGCTTAATTTTATAATACTGCTCTGATACCAGAAGCTTTGGACATAGAAGCACGCTTTGCATATCCATCCGTTTAGCAATGCGTTAGAATATATGTACACAGATTATTATTGTATGCCTGGATATAGGTATGCTCAATGTATCAGAAAGTTTCGAGATAATTTCATGAACTATTGAAGCCTACTGTGTAAAGTGATACCTAAAATAACATCCTGTTGACATTACTTCAACTTTAAAAGTTTGAAATGAAATGGATAAACATTAATTTAGACTAAAAAAAAAAAACAGACCCAATATCATACCCTAGGAAACCTTCATTTTTATCCCAGAACCCTGTTTGTTAATAGTACCGTTTACATGAACCTTTATACTAGCTAGCCTATCATTTAAGTGTGATTTCAACAGACGGAGCGGAGTGTTTCTTATCCGGTAAAGTCACATCAGCAAAACTGTCTAAAGATTAATGTGATCAAATGCTTTGGAGACACCAACAACATCTTGGGCTTCATCACGAGCACTAAATATTTTCTTGATAAAAAATATTAATTGTCTAATAAATAAAAAAATATAGACACTGTCTTTGATAAATGAGACCACAATGAGACAGTCAATTGTGTAGTAAGTGTCAGTTTATATACTAAACAAAACACTATGATATATAAAGCTAATTAATACGTGATTGTGAATATATTAAATAGGTACTTACTTGAGGAAAAACTTGAAATTATTTGTTTATACTTAGATTTTTTTATTTCTAATTTTGTGTTCCAATCCTAATGCGGTTCACAGAATACGTCAACTAGTCGTAGTCTTGGCGCGAGCGTGAGAGAACGGGACAGCTAGCAGTACACTATTAGTGGCTCGCTCGGCTGGGCGGTGAGGCGCGGGCGGGCGGCCAGAGTACGGCGGGCAGCGGGCCCGGGGTTAGTGGCGAAGAGCGCGGAGCTTGCGCGGGCGCGCGATCTGTCAATGTTATTTGTGAGTAATGTGTTGTGCGGCACTCGGGTTCCAAGTGAATTGCCTACTTCGCTGGTCAGGCGAATCATTCAAATTGAGAAAAATACTGTGTGAACGAAGTGTGAATGGATGATTGTGGTTTTTGTTGCGACGAACACGGTACCAAGAGTAAATAAGGTAAACAATACAAACTTCATTGATTATATATTAACAGGAATTATGTATTTTCTTAACACGTAATATTGTAAATAAAAAATAATTATAAATCTATAACTTATAAATTTATAATTATTTATACACGTAAATTATACATAAATAACTTCAGCACAACTGATTGTCCTGTGTATGGAGTAGGTACGTTCACGTCCGGTGCCCCTATGTATACATAATGTAGGTATATCATATCTAGAGGCAGTGAATGTACTCCAAAGATTCCATGAGATGTGAACCAATATGTAAAGCCGTGCCGCCGGTTATATGACGACCCCGATATACCTTTAGTGACCGACCTGTGTACCTACCCCGATATACCTTTAGTGATTATATACAAGATAAAAATGCTTGGAGGCTAGCTGGTCCTACTCCACAGGATGTTTAGAAGAATTTTTGATTTTAATTATTAATTTGTACACTATGTTGTTAATTGTTGATGATCTTCTAAGTTTTTGTAAATGTGAGTGCCCTGTAACTTATTATAATTAAGTAAGACTTGTAGAATATAGGTACTTGTGTCGGCTGGGAGCTGTCATGCTCACTCATAGGTCTCATTGGCGGTGGCACGGGCACTGGATCGCCCAATTCCCTATAATATGGTTGAGTTGGGCGGTGCTGGTGTACGTGTCAGGTTCGTGAATGGGCGCCGCCTATTGGGACTGGTCATCTCCACGCTGTCTAAATATGTTGTCCTTGAGGTTCACTTCTTTTTCGTACTTTTTGCCTGAACATTAGTGTTACATTGTTCTCACATATCAGAATCGACTAAATGACGTAACAAAGAAATGTATTGTAAAACTGATTGAAAAAGAGTAACCATGGAGTTTCTTGCTCGTTCTTCTCCATAGGAATCTACACTTTGGAACGAGCAAATAGCTTCACTAGAGGACAGACGGACAGACTGACACGCTTAATTTTAAAGCTCTTTTTAAATACTTTTTTCCTTTTTTGCTTGCTTGACGTTCAAAAGTGCCTACTGTGGTCTAATTGAAATAAATGATTTTTGACTTTTGACTTTGACTTTGTGACCGACCTGTGTACCTACCCCGATATACCTTTAGTGACCGACCTGTGTACCTACCCCGATATAACTTTATTGACCGACCTGTGTACCTACCCCGATATACCTTTAGTGACCGACCTATGTACCTACCCCAATATAACTTTATTGATCGACCTATGTACCTACCCCGATATAACTTTATTGACCGACCTGTGTACCTACCCGATATACCTTTAGTGACCGACCTATGTACCTACCCCGATATACCTTTAGTGACCGACCTATGTACCTACCCCAATATAACTTTATTGATCGACCTATGTACCTACCCCGATATAACTTTATTGACCGACCTGTGTACCTACCCGATATACCTTTAGTGACCGACCTGTGTACCTACCCCGATATACCTTTAGTGACCGACCTGTGTACCTACCCCGATATAACTTTAGTGATCGACCTATGTACCTACCCCGATATACCTTTAGTGACCGACCTGTGTACCTACCCGATATACCTTTAGTGACCGACCTGTGTACCTACCCCGATATACCTTTAGTGACCGACCTGTGTACCTACCCCGATATAACTTTAGTGATCGACCTGTGTACCTACCCCGATATACCTTTAGTGACCGACCTATGTACCTACCCCGATATACCTTTAGTGACCGACCTGTGTACCTACCCGATATACCTTTAGTGACCGACCTGTGTACCTACCCCGATATACCTTTAGTGACCGACCTGTGTACCTACCCCGATATACCTTTAGTGACCGACCTGTGTACCTACCCGATATACCTTTAGTAGTCCGACCTATGTACCTACCCCGATATACCTTTAGTAGTCCGACCTGTGTACCTACCCCGATATAACTTTAGTAGTCCGACCTGTAGGGTTCCCCTAAACCTTTCTCCATACTAGTCCTCTTTTATCATTTATGAAGAGAAATAACGTATCTTGTATGGGAACTATTTAAATACAGTACATTATAGTAGATATAATACACTACAATTATTCCCGATTGAAAATAATACACATAGGTAAATAATAATATATACCTAAAGATTTGAACAAACGTGTGGATAGACATGGATTCGATAACCAACATTAATCTCAGCTTTTTGACCTTACTTTCAACTCAAGACCAATAACAGATTTTTAGTCAGTAAGAATGTTTCAAGACGCCAGGCGACGACCTCTACAGTGTTAGCAGACACGTCGATGTAAAAACATATTACGTACATTTGTATGTACGTGGTTAGTGAAGCTACGCAAACATTCGTCCATATACATATATCTTCTTTAAAATAACCAACTGGACTTTTTTTCCCAGTAATAGCCAGGTATTATAAAAGAGCCAAGTTCCAAAAAATACTTAATTATTATTTTAATATTATTTACAAACTAAAGAAACATCAAAGACAAGGACGCGGTTTCGATCGGATCAGAAGAGATCTGAAAATGGCGGCCGTAAAAAATCTTACTAAATGTACAAGCGTTTCCACCCACACTTGTAGGAAGCACTTCCTTCTTCTCCTGGCGATTACCCAATTCGCAACTCAGTTTTACATTAACATATATTTATTTAAATTGCGACTAACATCTGAACTCCTCGGCTAGTTAAGGATTATACAACAACATTGTATACCTATAGATGAGAATTCCTATAACGACAGCCATCTGTTATTGAAGTTTTTATGGTAACGTGGATGATCGAATGGCCACTTTGAGTCGTCGAATCATCGACTAGCGTAGCTTAGTTAAATCCACTAAAACGATTGATACTCTTGCCTAAGCCAGGTACGAATTGAAACCCATTGGGGTCCATCAGCCCAACAGGCCGGTATGTAGCAGGGGCAGGGCAAGCGTAATAAGCGAATAAGGTACCGCGGCCGCGGCCTAGACTCTTAGACTCCTAGAGCAAAAAAAAGAACGGAATGGTTGGTTTAAAGTCAGTCAGAGTCTGACACCTCCCCCTCGCCCCGCTCAGGGCGAGAGAAGACATTTGATGGTTCTTCCTCCAAAACAAACAACTTGTTGGCGTGCAGCGTATACTTATAGATGCGAGGCAACAAGAGGATGATTGTCAATTATATGTATACATAGATACGTACTGAATGTAGTAGTTCCAGAAAGCAGATTAGTTTCTTCGTATTTTATTAGAGTTGACGAGAGTCGTAGTAAACACTGTAGCAAACGAACGTAAACGTCGAGTGGAGCGTAGGTGTGGGTAGCGGAAGCAGGCGGAACTCCAGCTCAGTACGTGGAGCGAGGCGGGCGCGGGGCGCGGGCGGGCGGCGGGGCGCGGGGGCCGCGGGCGCGTGCCACGCTGCCGTGTGCGATATTTAGCTAACCTTTGCGCGGTATTCTGGGCGCGCTATTTGCAGGCCCTCCGATAGCGGCGCTGAAATAGCCGGCACGCGCACCCGACACACACACTACTGCCACTCTCATAATACTGGGCTAGTTATCACTGTTCTGTTGATATTAAGCCAGTTATCAGGACGCTTAAGGTGATTGTGTTGCTCAGAATCGCGAATAGATTACTGGTAAACGAGAAATTCAAAACAGGCGGGGTAATATACAAAATTATCCTTAAATCGTAACCATTGAGGAGCTGTGTGTGTCTCCCATCAGTAGCAGCACGCTTCAGGTGATGATTGAGGACCAAAAACTGGCCAGGCCGGGAGTTACCTCACGCCAGTTTGTGTGAGGACATTGTGTCGCTCCGTGGAGGGAGGAGCCGGCCTATCACTGGTGATACCTGCTTCTGCGATGTAAAATCAATTAGTAAAAGTAAACAAGACAAAATTGGTTTTGTCTTGTTTACTTTTACTGCCACCTTACATGGTCGAAATTGCAGGCATGCAGAGTTTAACAAAATATAATTACGCGAAAATGAGCATCTACCAGAGTTCTCATATGATTAGGCATAGAGTTTATCAACCGCACTATAAAATTTTGAGGGATAATCTCCCATGCCTCTTCTATGGCAATTTTCAACTCCTGCATCATCTGAGCAACTGGCTGAGGAGCCCTAACACGGTTTTTTAGCTCGTCCCATATGTGCTCAATGGGTTTCATGTATGGGCTTCTGGCTAGTGCATCCATAATAAATTGTGATGTTCACACCCTGAAAGAAATTTGGGCCCACATAGTCCGCGTATGGTATCACGAGACGTTCTAAGCACTTACGAATGTACCTTTCAGCATTTAATTTTTTGGCAGCCGTGGTCCTGTAACTACCTCAAGTTGAGATTTGCCGCTCGCGGATAAAAGCAACCCTCTCTTCAAAGCAGCATTGTGCGAAACGCTCTCCCTTACGTCGGTAGACCTTCTTTCTTCCATCATTGCCATGTAACACAATTTTAGACTCATCAGAAAAGAGTACACAACTCCAATCTTGCTTTGTCTAATTTAAATGACTGCGTGCGAAATAAAGGCACGCTTTTCAGTGGGCTCACGATAGTTTGGGCCAATTAGCTGGCTTCTGTGGTACCATATCGCATTCTTTTAACTTTCTCCAAACAGTGGAAGTCGCGAAGTTTGTTTTGTATCTCAATAGAAGTGACGATTTCTGCTAAGCTACTCTGCTCAAGCTGGTCGTCACGATGAATCGATCCTGCCTTTCAGTTGTGACCCGAGATCGTGGCCTTCCTTGGCGACGAACAAAGCCGCCAGTCTCTAGGTACCTCCCATAAAAACATAGAGAGAAAAAAACCCGGATATAAATTTTCAACCGGATGTAAATACAAGGTGGGCCAATAGATGTGTCCAGAAGTGTAATTAGGTACGTACAAGGGTAATAGTATCAAAAAGATTATAAGCACTGCGTTTATTGTTACAATTACAAATGAATGATGTTAATGTTATATGCAAAGAATATGTAATCACTACGTTTATTATGTTTAGTACTTCTAATAAGTTTAATGATGTTATGTTACTTTACTCTTTGG